CAAAGGAAACCCACGTTATTCACCCCCCCCTCCTTTTCTTGTGTTTTTTTTTTTTTTCCCCCTGATTTGCCTGGCCAGGTACGAAGAAGCTACCAACGAGCTCATTAACGAGGAGCTGGGCATCGCATACCCCATCATCGACGGCATCCCGAACATGATCCCAGAGGCTGCCAGGACGACTCAGAAGAAGCCCCCAGCTGAGGGCTTGAAGCAGCCCTGAGGACCCACCAGCCGCAGCGGTAAACTGGGGCCGATGGCTGGAGGCGGCATGCTCCCCTCCCTGCCCACACTGACTGTACTTGTTCCCCTCCTGTCCCTAGCAGGCTTGTTTTACTCAGCCAGCGTAGATGAAGCCTTCCCACAGGGCTGCACCAGCACAAACAGCTTATGTTTCTACAGTCTCCTCCTTCCTGTTACAATACCGGTTTATGTATTCTTCCACCTGTGGACCTGGATGGGGATTAAGCTTTTTAGGCACAACTAGTGCGATCCATGTGCTAACCCCTGGGCTTCTCTAAAGCAACACAGTTTATTTAATCTCATCAGGTATTGCAGCTGATTCGAGAGAGTTCCGTTCTGGCACTAGTGACTGTCATCTTTTTTCTAGTGGTATCTAGAACAGTATAAAGTCCTCTGCAGCAACCTATTACTTAGTTACTGCTAAGGCAGATAAAGAGGAGGAATAACAAGAAGCACTAATTCTTTGTAATGTATTCTTTCAAGAGTGTTGTGTGTTTGTAGTGGCACTAATGGAAATCTTGCAGGTGGTGATCATTTTTACGAGGAAGAACTGTACCCTGACTGAAATAACTGATCTTAAATAATAAGCAATGACAACATGCAGCAATATTAATCTCTCTTTGAATTACGAGCTTTGGGTTTGTTTTGAACTGATGTGTTTATTGAGATGTATTTGTCTCACTGTCAGAAGAACATAAATTAGGCTGATGTTTAATAACAAAATGAGTTAAATGAAGAAATTTACTTGGATGATACCCATGTCTGTACATCCAGTAGCTGCTTGCTTGCCTTTCTTTTTATTTTTCTAAGAAAAAGATGGGGAAGTGACAGCGCTGCAGAAAAGATGTACTTGTGCATTTGGGGGTTTTGTGAGAGTGGCCTACAACATATTCCAGTGTCTGCTTAGGAGATGTATGTCCCTGTACTATTTGTTAAATGTGTCTGAGTGCCCAAGTTTGATAGCCAGGCTGGGTCACCTTCGTTCAAGAGGCATCTCCTGACAGGTTAGAGGCAAAATAACTCCAGCTGAGCCCAGGATTTGGTAGCCAAGTCGGCAGCTACAAATGCTGTATAAGTATGCAGAGTATCTTTCCCCTTAGTACTATCCTCCTCAGTAGAGAGGGAACAGAAGATGGTTCTGCTAAATACTTCAACCTTCCCTGTTTTACAGCAACACTAGAGAATGGAGTGACAGACCACTATGAGGGTGTCGTGCAAGGTTCTCGGTACTGTCTGACAAAATGTCTTAACAGGATGCAGCTATGAAGGGGACAGGTCAATGCTATGATAATCTATTACAAGGGTTTCTCTTTTATGTTTTGTTACTGGGTGGTTTACATCTGCAACACAGACACATGAATGTCCTTTACCTGCTGAAAAATTCAGAAACGCAGCACCAAGTTGTAAACACTGCAGACCTCAGTGTCTCTTGGTGGGATGCTAATAATGCAGTCAAATTGATCAGGCTGCTGCTGGGCAAATAATGCTGCGATGCACGGTATGAAAGGCAGTGCCCACAAGACGTGTATTCGAAGGCTGACTAGGTAAGTGCAGCTGTTTGTCAGGGCTCCTTGTACAATCAGTGGAGAGAGACTCTGGATCTAGAGGACAGTACAGAGCACAAGCCTTATTGCCTCTGTAAATAAATGCCTCTTTCAGCTGATGTACTGAGGAAGGGGGAAGGAAAGGTAGCCCTAGGAGCCATTGTGAATCTTCTCCTAAGTGTACAGGAAGGAAAAGCTTTGAGAGCTCTGGTTGGCAAGAAGGCTCACTTAGAAAGAACCGGAACTGGGTAATAGGGCACTGAGGTTGATAGTTCCTGCTGCACAGGCGTGGTGCCGGACTCTGACAGCCCTTGTGTCAGTGACTGATACGGCACATGGTCCCGGAGCTGAGCTCCCTGTTCCCACGTCAGCCATCTAACGGCTTTTGCAGGACAGGGCTAGCACTGCGATACCTGAAGAAAATATGGCTGGCATAACCTTTGGGTTTGTGTGGAAACCACAGACTAAAGCCACACGGAGACAGCAGCATTACAATCAGCTTTTCATCTCTCTCGCTGGCACTATCCTTCCTTTCCCTTCAGGCAGCATCTCCGTGAGAGCAATGGCTTTTGTGGCTATGTTGCTTGCTGGCCTCTAACGCTGGCTCCCCGGCCACCAGGCTTTTCACAGACAGCAAACTAGCCTAGAGTCTTTAAAGTCTAGCAGTAATATTAATCGACTTTGCCAATTACCAGTTTCCTGAGCAATCCTATTACATTACCCCAAAGCAACCTCACAGTAAATAGCACTGTCACTTGCATTTAACTTATGCCAACAAAGCTTGATCGCTACCTGGAATAAGAATAAGATACTACCCTCCAGGTTTACTCTACATCCCCTGTGGAACATGTTTTGTAATAATTTGATGAGTAGTTGTTTTGTTGTATGCTCAGTGAATACTGAATCCCTTCTACCAATACTTCAGTAACACGGAAAACCAAAGAACACTGCAGCAATATATTCAGAGCTAACAAATAATACAATTTGGTATCTTACCTTTAAGATCTTCCTGAATTGCTGGGTTGGTGCGCCATTTAAATGAGTCCATATGTCTTGCAGAAGGCACTGTCTTCTGACCGGAAAAACCCAGTGTGAGAAGTGTATCTGAAGATTGAAGTAACAGTGTGTTAGCAGTGTGTTTCTTTCTTCTAAGTTGTAAAAAAATTGGCCACACTTACATAATTAAAGGACCTGGACAGAGCGCTGCATTCTATACTATGAATGCCAATCTTGTCATGCATGTCAAAGATGCATGGATATTCGGTCAGCTTCCACAGGGCCATCTGAAACGACAAGGAAGAAAGAAAAAGATGCGTTGATTTTCTCTTGCAAAATCAGAGTTTGGGGGTATATGTGCAGACTGAACTGCCAGTCTGTACCCTGGCAAACTCCTGTTACCTCTGAAACATGCCCTTGTTGTATACGTGAACGCTACACCAACAGAGGCACACTTCCTGAAAGGAGCTTCTAAGCACTTCTGTGAGTGGGAAACCCTGACAGGGAGGCATCTGAGCTGTCTGTGCAGGCAGACACTTGTGTTACAGTACCCCAAGAATAAAACAGAAGCATAGTGATTTTAATAGCATCTTCCATAATTCAGCTAAACCAAAACACATAGCAAAAATGTCCTGGATACCCAGGTTATGGTACATTGTTGTTAAAAATTGTTTGGTTTATTATCTGTAATACCAAAAGTAGATATTGGTATACAAAATAACCTAATTCAAAGTGTTACGCCTCCAGTGTGATAAGGCAACAGCTTCAGGTAATGTCCGATTTGGCTTTTGATTCTATGCTGTTTCTCAAACCTCCTCCTCCGCTCTGGTTAATTGGTACAAAATTGGTACATTAGCAAACGAAAGCTTATGAAAGAATTAGGCAGTTGCCCTGTGAATTCCAGCCAAGTTGCCAGAAAACTGCATTTTTTTGCCTAAGCAAGCCCCTGCTGTCCACGTTTCCATTTCATGCTGCTTCCTGTGACACCAATTACATTTGGTAGCTAATTTTTACTTCGTCATGTCATCAAGAAATGAACCATTTCACAGCTTAATTTTTATTACCACAGCTTTGTTTTTCGATGTAAGTAAATTGAAATGCTCAATAGGGTTTCTACATACAGTTTAAAGAGACCTCACAATATTTGTTAATTAAACATAATAAAATCCAGAGTAACAAGAAGTATAGCAACCATCCCTCATGGTGCTATTTCACACTGATCACCAGTTCAAAGCAAATAGAGCTGCTTAAGATGCTGGAGGACAGCTCCGACTCTCAGAACCAGGGGTCATCTCAGGAAAGGCACTACCGCAGCTGCTAAAATACTGGGATGGTAAATGGCTTGCATAATTTATAACAGCTGGAGGACCAGGGAAAATGCATTGTCTTTGAGATGTACTGGGCTAGAGTCTAGAGTTGACTTTCATATATATAGACTCATTTAAATAAAACAGAAAAAAAGGTGTTTTGCACTGCTGGTAAGATTTTATACTTACTTCTACATCAAAGAACAAGAGCAGTCTGACAATCCCTTTCACTTGACGCACACAGAAGTCGTTTTCTTGTACTCTGAAACCAGTTCTGGAGTTCACCTGCATTGATACACGCAATATGAAAAGGGGTGTCAGCAGATCTAGTGAGCTATGTGTCGGTGTGGCAGGACAGGACTAAGGAGTAAGAGGGTTCCCGGAGCAGAAAGAGCTCCGAGACCCTGCACAGAAGTGGAAGGAGAGAAGTGCTACGAGTAGCACAGCACTCAACAGTGAGAAGTCTCAGAAAGCCATGTATAAACGAGCAGGAAAGCAATTTTAATTTATAGTGAAGACCCCTTAACAGGACTCCATCAGGAAAGGTATGTTTCACTTCGAGTGTCTTTCATGTTGCAGGACAATCTGAAGTTCCCTATTCATGTTCATACTTGTTGCCTGGCAAAGATATAATTTTTGGGCGGACAGTGAACATGTAAAGTTCCAAATGATATAACCACTTACAGAGGAGTAGGCCTGCTGCACTTTTGAGTTTATCTGGATAGATACAGATTCAAGAGTCTAAACGTCAAGGCCCAAATCTGTATTCTCAGCCAAAAGGATACTTCAATTCTGAACAAAATTTAACAACTTTCCCTGATTCATACTAAGTGCATGCTTGGGCTCTTGACTTTCCTAAACTTTGAACATCTCAGCAGGAGAAAGGATGGTTGTCAAGAAGAATACAGTTATTGCCCCCTTTCTTCCCTTTGTTCATATGCAGCTAAAGATGCTCTAATTCTATTGTGTCAGAAAATTTCTCAGGTAACAGGCTCTTAAAGCATCGTGCAGTGTTACTGTAGCAGCCGCGATGTGCCAAGCAGGTGGGTTGTCTTTGAAATGCTGTGAGCAGTTATGCGCGTGGGGGATCTCGCCAGCAGAAAGGGGAATGGGCATGCTACGTAATGGACAGCACATCCATAGCTCTGTACGCATCAATGCATGCACTCCTCGCGCCACTGAAAGGATCCCTCCCGCTGCCAGGGGCTATAACATGCTCCAGCTCTTCATTTCTGTAGAGGGTCAGTCAGGCACAAGTCAAGAGCAGGATTCCTTCAAAGCTATGCTGGTGTAGAGCCAAAGAGATTCCTGGAGCAATATCAAATGACAAGGCCCCATGTTCCCTTGTAAGAAGGAAACCCAGAGAATTCAACAAATAAAAAGGGTTAAAATACTCTAATTCGTACTGATATATATTCCTATCTAATCAGGCTCCAAACACTTTCTCACCTGGTAAAGAATCTGCAGTATTTGCAGAGGCTCCGTTTCATGTGGGTGCAGGTTGTAGGGGTTTCTTTGAAGACAGCTGACTTCCATGATAAATTGAGACAGGCTTTTCTCGGAAACCGTCTTATACAGAACGACCAGCTCTTTGAAAAAGGATGTTTCTAGATTTGACCACAGGCATTCTGTAGAAAACAGCTGGTGAAGTATCTGTCACAGGTAACATGCAAATAACTGCAATTTCTGGATGAAGCTGCATTTTCTCTTTTTATCAAATGAACTAAACCAAAAAAATGCTTAATTTTGCACTACAAAAATTAGTAAACCTCAGAATGAGAGGGTTTTTTTTTTCTTGTGTCTTGCTGTGTAGTCCCCATGTTTCTACTTCTACCAAAAGCATTTATTCCAGGCTGAACTCTGGAACAAATTACATCAGCGATACTAACTCTTGCCTCACAGCCGAAAATGACCAAGCATTTAAATCATTCAGTTCTATCATCATAAAACCTTACCAAGAATTTGCAGGTCCTTTGGCTGGAGCTTCGTGATGGCTTGTGCTAGCAGCCTGAGAGAATGGAAAGAGCTGCCGTCATATCCCTGCAGAAGGAAAGGCAAGATCAAGTAGACTCTGAAATTTTCAGGTGAGATGGGAGAGGAAGACAATGACGGCAGTAACTTCTGAATCTCCTTTTGCACCTTCAGAGGGAAAAAAAAAAAGAGACAAGGGTTAAAAATGCAATTATGTTTTGCCAAAATCATCTATGAATTAGGTTGGCACAGAATTCCCAAGTTTCATGCACAAATCCAGAGGTCCTCGGTATCTGTGTAGTGAGAGTCCTTACCTCCTGGAAGACTTGTGGCTTCTTGCTGATTTTCTTATAAAAACGTTGCACTTCTGACATGTCTACACCCGAGAATTCTTTGGAAGTTTTGAAATGTTTGTCTCTATCACAAAGAAAAAAAAAAGAACACCAAATGATGCAAGGAACTGTTTTTTGTTACTGCCCGAATAGTGAAGCGTCCTAACATCAGAAAATACTGGGAAAGTTCAGCCCCAGCTCCACGGGGTATAACTTCATCTGTCCTAAGAAGATATTCTCACTGTGGTGTGACCTGATTAATATTCTGTCCTTCCTGTCTTGTGTAGCTGTGCACTGTTAATGGTAGGCTTCCTGTATTTCAACCTAAAACAACTTGCACTTCAGTGCTGGGAGGAGCTGTTATGGATCCTTTGGGAGCTGTAATATTGCCTAAAGGGCTTATCATAGAATCATAGGATCATTTAGGTTGGAAAAGACCTTTAAGATCATCAAGTCCAACCATAAACCTAACACTGCCAAGTCCACCACTAAACCAGGTCCCTAAGTGCCACATCTACACGCTTTCTAAATACCTCCAGGGATGGTGACTCAGCCCTTATCATCATCTGTCAAATGTCACTATGGGATAATCTGCTAGAATGTGAGCTTCTATAGCAAATTTCAATAGGACTGGGGGGATAAAAAACTTAATTTTAGCATGGGCTGTGAAAAATACAGACTTGCTTCTTGCAAATTCAGATACGACTAATCTCTACATACGTGGCCTAAAATAACACTTTCTGGTCAGTTTACGTGCAGCCCATATATTCTGTTACGTCTAAGTCAGCGCATGCTACCTTTTCTCCAGGAAGCTTCCGTTGATGCAAGCCTCAGATGAAAAGATCAGTCTGATATTCCTGATAGTAAAAAACAAACCAAAGTCAATCCTTTCAACATGAGTAGCAACTTCAGGTTTTTAATTCTGAAAGGGCAAAAAAGGTGTGTACGAGTGTGTCTGCACCTGACCACATAAAACTTTTCTTAGCACCACTTTATTGGCAGCATTGCAGAAGACGTTGTATTTGGGGAGTTAGTGATCTTCGGCAAGCCACCTCTGCTCTCCTGGGCCTCGTAAGGGAACCTGCTCAAGCGCTCCGCGCCAGCCCGTGTTGCATGCTGGTGGGTGTTATGATGGAGATATCTTCTCCTGACAGGTTGGGACGTTACCTGGTTTTGTTTGTTATGCAAAATAAAAGGCACTGTGTCATGGGAGGGAGGAGGAACCCCTCCGCAGACCGGATCTTTGTAGCGCGCTGAGAGAAAATCCATCAGGGTATCCATTTGCTGCTGCACGGAAGCTGGGTTCCCAGCATCTGAAGGGACGTTAGACTTACTCACTACCTGTATTCCTGGGTCTGTTCCTAATAAAGCAGCTATTTTATCAAGCGATTTGCTGTCAGGCCCTTCCTATTGAGATCTGGAAAGAACCCTCTCTCACCCTCTCAACAACCACTTTCCATATGATCCAAACCGTACTAGAATTGGTCAGGGAAACATTTAGATCCAAATTAGCCAAGATTTTTAAATGCTCAAAATCAGCAGTTGGAGTCAGACTTGCCCAAAGAAAATAACCTCCCATGTAAGATCTGAAAAAAGACTACTTAATCATAATTCTCAGCCATAACTGTAAGGCTTCCCACAGTAGTATATACTTACTGCTTTTGAAAATGGGTCACTAAAGAAGGGATCACTAATTTTTAAATCCTGACACACACAAAACGTTCCCGTTTGGGTACTCTGGATTATGATTTTTGCACAAGGCCTGGGTCTGCAGACCAAATCTTTCACTGATTTAACTTGTCGGCTCTTCATCATCTTAATAACCATTCTGTGCGAGGAGGACAGGCTTCTGAAGCCAGGCAGTACATCTGCTCTGTTCCTGCAGAAGGATTATCGAAGGGCTGTTGATCATCAACATTTCTTTTTCCTGTGCAAAAACTAGGTAAGAAGTGCTGGTACAAGATTCTGTCTCGGCTAAATTCTTGAATATCGGTTCCTAAAGTAGTCTCTCCAAAGAAAAATAATTTTTAGAGAAAATCATGTATCAGGGGAAAAAAAAAAACAGCAGGTTTCTGACTTACTTTTTTATACTCTCCCAGTGTTGCGAACTGGAATTAGAAATCCATGCATCCACTTCTTTATCCGTTAGAGTGGCAATTCCATTCAAGTAGGAATTCTGTGTGAAATGCATGAAAATGTTGACAAGATTACAGGTCTAGCAGATAGGATTCTTTTTTTCAAGCCAATCATTACAAGAAGATTTCAGCCTAAGTATGAACAAATGAATGGTCATCCAGCATGATCCAGATGCATTAACCACAGAACAGACATATAAGTGCAATACAAGTTAGTTTCTGGGTAAGCGTGGAAAGAACTGCAAGAGACATACATGAACTTGGAGCGCTAAAAGCAGGATGGAAAATCCAAATGTTTCCAGCAGTACTGTGAACAATGGTAAAATTAGAAGCCATGATCAAATATGCACATACCTTGTTCTTGCAAAGGACAATACTTCGGTTTCCTCCTGCAATAATTTCAATCACCTTTTGTGACGTGTTGTTTCCTGTGAAAGAATAAAAAGATTTTCAAAGGAAGATTTGAAAAGACAGTCATTATCTTCAGAAAGTTCAGTGCACAGATGTGGAACAGTAAAAAAAACCCTCAGATAGTAGCTGTCTGTCTAAAAGTTGATTCTATGTGGCCATTACCCATGATGGTAAATCAAGCAGCAAATGGAATTATCCATTGTAGAATCTGTTGGGATGACCAAGCAAGCATGAGACATAACGTTAGCCTCTCAGTGTAAACATGAAATCAAGAAAGCAAACATCTCCCTGGAAGAAACAAATAGAGATTGTAACACATCTGCAACGGTCATTACCCTGACAGGATTTTCCAGTATTCACTGGTGAATTGATGGGAAGTGGTATCAACTGATTAGGCTTTCTCTCATCTCCCAGCTGTCCTTCTTTACCAGAACCAAACGAATAGACTTTGTCCAAGGAGGGGACATAGACCAGGGTGTGCTGTCTGTTCAGAAAAAGAAAAATGGTCATAATAAGCTAATACCACTGGGCTAGTCAGAATAAAATTTACAGATACGTTTTCAGAGTGGATAGCTGAAGCTCGTCTTTAGAAGTCCTGACAGTCCAGCTACAGAATCCCTTTAACCAAAGTCTTAGGACCCTTCCTTGCGTAAACATTCAGCAATAAAGAAACGCATGGACTCAAATTTCCTATACTATCCTCTAGTGTTTGTGATTTACCCTCGGTCCACATACAAAAATAAAGTGTTTTACCTTGCTAGCTTCACGCCCTTCCATTTTTAAAAGCGCAACTTCTATGCTGCTGAGCCTGATACAAAGCCCAGGCAAGTCGACAGGAGACTTTTTCTGGCCCAGTTCCAGAAAGGCAGAATGAAATTGGGTAATTATCACCACTCTTCACTTCTTTCTAAGGACCCACCAGTTTGTCAAAGTGGATGGGAATTCAGTGACTTTCCTGACGCAGGCTTTTGACAGTCTTTTGCCCTTTGGAACGCAGTACACCCTTCGTTTCTTAAAAGAGCAAGAAAACACAGGCTTCTGGTGTTTTTTGCAGCCCTCTGCCTCTGCTCGGCATGGGCTGAGGGTTCTGCTTTCACTGGGGCTGTGGCAGGAGGGTGGCTTACACTTGAAGAGCGGACGATATTCTGACAGTGCTGACTTACTGGGATACAGGGATTTGAACATCTTGGTGACTCCCCTCCCTACTGTTCTTCAGTGATTCCCCTAAGACCTTGACCTTAGAAGGCATGTTATTGGTACTTTCCCACCTGCCGCAGGCAACCTGCGAAACTCTTGCTCCCCACAGCTCGGCCACCACACGAGGCACGAGTTCATTCCGGGTGGAGTTGTGACCAAGCTGGCCAGCCCCTCCTGCTCCAAAGGTGCACACCAACCCCTCCTTGAAGATGAAGAAACAAACAACAGGATCACTGCATTATTAATGGCATTCAAACGGTCACCACCGAGAGTGAGAGCCAGCAAGACACAATATCTTATATGGGACTTGATTCAAAACATCCCTGATTCAAACACAGGTAGAGTTCACTTCGCATCAAGCCTAATCTTACACTGTCTAATGTCCAAAGCATTTGACTCCTGAGAAAAGCAATTTAACTCCTGAGAATAACTCCCTGTGGCTTAAGAATTTTACTTGTATGAGTAAACCCTAATGATTTAGCTATCGTTCACATTTTCTGAAGTCCCCAATATGCTATAAAAAAGAAATATTTTCAAAAAGTACTGAGAGTTGAACAGCACCTCTTTGCCCCAGGATTCCCATTCACCATCTCCCTGCAAAAGTTTGCATGCAGGTGACAGGAATCTGAGAAAAGGCCAGTTTTCCCAATAGCTTAGTTAGCATCCCTTGGGGATCGTCTTCAGATTCAGATGGAAGCAGGCATTGCCATCCCAATTTCTCCATGCTGACTTTTAGCAGTATATCTTTTTCTCACAGGGTGAGGTCTCAGACGCTGACTTTCCGTGTCAGACTCACCTTGGAGAGAACTGCAGTATGATCTGCCCCACAGGAGATAAATACAGTCTTCCAGTGCTCTAACGCTCCGACGTACGACGGGCAGTCCCTGTCTGGAAAGAAGATAGCACTGCTAGAGTGAATGAGTACTGGGGGGGATCTCACACAAAGAAAGATTTAGAAAATAGGGGATTTTAGCGCTTTTCAGTCCTCCCTTACAGCAATTCATGTATTTACTTGGTTTTGAGTTGTTTTCTACCCTCCACTATAACATACACTTTCTCATGATGTTCTGTCTTTTTCATGGTATTTTCTTTTCATTTACATTTGATCTGAAACAAAACGCAGTGCTTTCACATCTGCTTGCCAAAAGGTACTTGGCTTCAAAATATGTGACTCTCAACGGTGGGGACTCATTCAGATCCCGCTGATTTCAGGTTCTGTGTGGCTAGGGCAACTCTGCTCGAGCCTTCTAGGTTTGAAGAAAATGGGTGATTTTAATTCTTCTCTCACCTTGTGTTTACAGAGAATTAAAGAAGTCAAAGAGGTATAAAATTAATTTCCTTCATGGAAGACTGCCTGGAGAGAGAATGGGAGTGGAAAGAGACCTCTGAGACATACGGTTTTAAGAGCCCACGCTATCCAGTTGGCCACATACAATGATTGGAAGTTCTCTGTAGAAATACAACCCCTAAACCCCTTGTCCCTGCATGCCTTTCCTGGTCAGGAAACAAAGAACTTACCCAGATATACTTTCTTCAAAAGACTTTACTGTCCACTGCTGCTACAAAGGGGCTTGACAGTCCTGAGGAGCTAATCCTGTGTCTGCAGTAAGCTCATTGACCAGGAAAACACCTTCCTACTGCTGTCCTTCCTTACCTTCTGTGTCTCCGAGTCCCAGCTGTCCAAAATCATTCTTTCCCCAGGAGTACACAGCTCCAGACAGCGACACGGCTGTGCTGTGAGCTCCTCCAGCAGCAATTTGAGCAAGTGAGATGCCCTTTAGTCTTTCCACCAGCTGTGGTTGGGGGATGAGCGTGGTTTGGCTCCCCACTCCAAGCTGTCCATGGGCATTCTGGCCCCAGCTGAAGAGCTCACCTCCTTCACACACAGAACAAAAGAAAACAGCTCAGCCTCACTGCTTCCCTTGAGTCTTTGCACTTTGGGAGTGGGAGCGAAAATCAGTGCTGCTTTCAGGGATCTAGCTGCAAGGTGAGACCATCAGCAGCAACCAAATCTCCCTGTTTGCTTCTGACCCCTTCGGGGCAGTCCCATGCTGCCCATTTGACTCAGCGCAGCAAGAATAAAGGCAGGGTGTTTCCACCTCTAAAGCCATACTTCAAGAAGTTCCCAACCAGAGAGGTGCTCCAACTTAAGAATGATCTGGTCTGGTGACTGCAGAGTGGGGCAGCCACGTCTGCTCTCCACAACACACCTTTGCGGAGGGATAGTGCTCAGGAACTGGAGAGAGACAGAGCTGCAGGTCCCTGGGTGCTGTGAGGAAAGGGCAGCGCTAATAGCCAGTGCACTTTGTCCCCCCCACCCATCGCTCACTACTCTCTAATGGTGTCACCAACTACTGGAAGGAGTTCAAACGCTCCCTTCTGAGAGCAAGCCTGCCATAATGTGACTCCCATTTAGAAGAGAAGTGTGCTTGAAAGAAGCTACCTCTGGACAGTGCCATGGTGTGCTGGTCCCCACATGCTATTTGAACAATATCTTGGTTTCCTAGTTCTTTCACCAGCCTACAAAAATAAGGAAAAAAAACCAAACAAATCAAAATAGATAGATGCTGTACCATGAGACAAAGTAAAGAAGAAGATCCTCTGCTCACCAAGCCCTAGCATGTTTAGTGGGAATTACATGGAAAAATATAGGTCACCTGTAAGTTGATTCACCCTGCTCTTATGCTAGCCTACTGCAGCTGCACTAACTGATTTGATAGTGGTTTGAACCATGGGAAGCTGGAAGAGAATCGGGCTCAGCCCTGGGCAAGTTAACAGAAAATCCCACAGCAAATTGCTGTGCCATTTTTAGGTGACAGTTACCCTCACAGCTTAGTCAGAACGTGGTAAGGTTCAGATGTGCTTGGGTCTTTCACCCGCAGCTTTCCCAAGCCACATGTGGTTTGCAAGGCATCTGCATTACTCTGGTATATGCTACCGATCCTTACTAAGTTTGAGAGAAAGCTGTCTCATGTGCATCTTAAGCAGCTCAGATCTTGGTATTATCCTCAAAATCAGTGCTCTTCTTGCTGGGTAACAAAAGAAGATAAAGGTTTGGGCACTAGGAATGAATGTGTTCCAGTTCCCTCTCTACAACAGGAACATGCCAGTCTCTTGGATGTTACTTTTAGGACAAGTGGGCCACCTTCTCTGACCGTTACCATCCATACCTCCACGCCGTGAAAGCTTCTTACCTTGGCTTAGAGCAGTCAGCTGAAGCTGTAGCCCACTGTTCAAAAAGCTTTCCATCAGGGGAGAGAATGAGCATATGTGTTCCATCATGGTTTGAACATTGCACCTTCTCATTCTTCTGCGACTGCGTGAGTTCTGCAGAACAAATATGGACAGACATGATGGCCACGCTAAGGCAGCAGACATCTTAACCACCTTGGCCCCCTCCCCAGGACCTCTGTGTGCTACTGCTTTCACCAAGAGCTTCTGCTCCTCAGGAAGAAGTGAGACAAGCGTGTGTGACTTATTTTCTCAGGCCCCTTGGGGTTTCAGTGTCCTACCCGCTGCTTGGTTTCATGCCAGACAACTCTCATGCCCGGCTACCACTAAAAGATACTTCTCCATCTCTTAGGCTGCTGTGCCACCAGCTCCCAAGATGATCAGCAAAACATCAGCAGAAGCACATTCTGTTACTTCCACACAGCTGTGGAGAGTTTCCTGGGGAGATAAAGCACTTTCTGAGATATATGACCACCCCAGATATGTCACAGCCTTGGGGATGGGATGCCTTGAAGTCAGATGTTTCACAAGACACTGGAGAAGCAACGATGGAAAATTCACGTGTTGCCGGTTTCCAGCAGAAGGAAGTCCCTTCTTGTCTGCAGCTGAAGGGCTGCAGGTGCTGTCCTGACCCCGAGGCACCAGATTCACCCAGTTACTCGCATGTGGCCCTACTGCAGCACAAGCGTCTGAGAGCCAGGATGCCCAAGCGCAAAAGGCAGTCACCAGCAAAGCCTTCCCTGATTTACCTAACGCCTCTGGAGACCCACCGCCCACCCTTCTTCTCACACCTCCCCAGCTTAATCACAACATGCAACCAGAGAGGAAAATTCACGTCTCTTCCCCGGCACGCTCTGCCTCCTTCCAGGCTCCCCCGATTGCTGCGCACTGGGACATGGTTAAGCACCTCATGCAGCGGCTCGCTCTCCCCGAGAGGCAGCACAGCAGATCATCGCAACTTTAGCGGTTTCACCTCCAACGACCCGCCCTCGCCCCCGCACGGACGCGGCCCGGAGGGGCTCACCGCC